CAAGGTTGTTTTCTGTGTATCTTTGCAACTGGAGTTGCCAAGTCACAGCCTCCCCTCCATTCTCTGCCTGTTACATTTACCTTTTTCTGTCTGTCCAATGGCTGACTTGGGCACTCTATGCTTGCCATGATAATTCTCAGTGTACCCCTTTGGCTTCTGCCCTGCCTGATCATCCTGAGTGTCTTGATCCTAAATTCCTAAAAGATGAATTTAATTGGCTCAGTTCATCTTTTTTTTTTTTTTTTTTTTTTGCCTACGACCATAAGTTTTAGGATTCTTGTCAGCCTAGAGATTGGTTGCCCTTATGTTAGATGTTACACCCCCACTTATCCAGTCTGCTGTGGTTTGGAGGGTGAAGGAGGTTTTTTTTTTTTAATTTGCTTAAAAAAAAACCTGGTGGTTCCCACTTGAGATGGGTTTTGGATAAGGAGGATGATGATAGACATGCCTTATTAGAATTGCTTTGAAACTTAAAAGGGTTTCTAAAAAGCAATGTGTCAGTTCCGGAAGTTGCTTCCTAAGGTAGTGTGTGATTCAGTGTGGTCTTTGCAGGCTTCCATGGTATACCGTGGCCATGGCCGAAAAGTGCAGAAGGTGATGGTGTAGCCTGTCAACCTCATCTTCGTAGGTCCTGGATTCAGGTATGGCTCTGTGAGCAAGTGAATATGCAGCTAGAAGGCTGTATCATTGGTTTTGATGAGCGTATGAACCTTGTATCAGATGAGGGACAAGAGATTCGTCGTAAAAGTCAAGAAAACAACTGGGTTGGATCATGCTAAAAGGAGGTGATAATATTCTGCTATAAAATGTCTCTGACTAGAAATAGAAATGATCAAGGAAGTGAGAAATTGTTGAGTTGGTAATAGCTTGTTGTTTTAGATGTCCTTTGTTGGGAGTATAGTTCTAAAACATTTGTTCATATTGTTTCAATTACCCTTATGTTATTACCAGATGACAATAAATGCTGTGGGATTGTTTTCATTAAAAAATTAAAAGCATATCAGCATTTTCCAATGCGTTATGGTCATTTATGTTTACCTTGTTCTGGCAGTGGCTTCTCACTTGAGCTTTATGTTTTTCTGTATTCTGTTTGACTCAAAGACCAGGGATCTTGGCACCTTCATTTTAATTTTTTCAGCACTTGTTCATCCTGGTCTAGCCTCTTACAAGATACTTGTAAACAAATGTTTGCATGTATTTGGGATAGAGGCTAATTAATATTTGATAGCAGAGTTCTGTGATAAATTTTGAATAGGAAAATCTTCTGATAAAAAATCTAATAAATAACCTCCATTATCTATTAAATTTTCCTGTGTGCTGTTTCTTAAAACGGATTCATGGCTAGATTACATTTGTTGGTCTGGTTGCTGTGTGAACCTTCACCCTACTCTATATGGCTTGGCCTTTTTAATTTTTAGTCTTATGTATGTACAGTTTGGGTATGTTAGCTTGGGGAAGTATGTATGTGCCACACCCACAGCTTTGTTAATTACTTTATGATCAACACCCTTGAAAACAGGTTCTTAAAACAATGAGTGTTACTTATATTCAGTAGCAATAATAATAATTTCCTTTTAAAGTTAGTAGTAAATACTGGCTCAAATATATTGCACATAAAAGTAATTTAGTAATTATCTTTTTTGAAATTTTGATTTCTAATTAAAAAAGTAGAGAAGTTTTATTAGAAATCTTATTATAAGTAGAATTTGCATTTTACTCTAGAAGTAAAGGAAATTTATAAGCCAATAGTTGAATTTTGGTTGTTATGGTGGTAGTTTTTTTTTAAAGCTTTTTCACTTTTCTGTTAAATTATTTTACTTAAACAGAAGTATCCTGTTTAAGTATATATGTGCTGTCATATACCTCAGTACCCCATGATCATTCACATCATGGGAGACACAGTGGCAGATTTTGTATGACCCAGACTTGACTTACCAGGTAAGTAGTCCCCAACTGTAGCTTCTCTTCAGAATTACCTGCTATGTTTTTAAAATATGGATTCTCAGGCCTCAACATTACAGCTGCTGCCTCAGGATCTCCAGGGTTCATTTCATAATCTATACCCATTTATCTAAGCTTGCCAATAAATGCTACACACAAACCAAGTTTGGGAATCACTCTAGGCCTCTAGTTCTCAGTCTAACCAAAAAGAACACCTCCCATCACTGTAACTGATTTCATGTTGAGAACTTTATCATGGGCCAGAGGACTGTCCATTTAACAAATGCTCACTAAGTGTATTTTGTGTCCAAGGCATTATGACATGCTGTGGGAATTTATAAAGATGCATATCAATATAGATATTACCATTAACATCCCGAAAATGCTTTTGGCTGGCAGGTGTATGAGAATCTACGTTGTGATGACTTGAGTTTTTCGAGGATCATCATGCAATTCTTAATTATAGCATCGATACACTTTGTACTGATGCTTAAAAATTTCTTATTCACATGTGGTTTTAGGAACCATACTGGGTCTTCGAGTTTTGAGTTGGCTGCTTCTTTCTGGGCTCCACCATCTTTCACAGGTTAAATCTGTGCCCCACTTTTTCTTGACAATGCCGTCATAATCATGCTACTGGGTAAACTAATACCTTGAGGAATTAGCATATTTAGTGGGTGTAGGTTATTTTCCTGTTTCATAGTGAATGGAAGAGCAATGTTTAAACATCTTTTTTTACATACCTGGAGAATTTGTTTTGTGGAGATGTATTGGCTTTATATATAGATAACGAAGCGTTGTCTTTAGATTTCAGTATTTGTGGCCTTGGAAGTTCATGGTCGCTTTGTGCTATCACGTCACTAGGTGGAGATATAGCATTGTTTGGTGCTGTAGCCAAAGCAAAAGGAGTGAGTCTTGATTTCTCTTCTTTCGACAAAAGTACTTTATAGATATTTAATGAGATTTATTATGCCCTAGGAAAAAACTTGTAAATTTAGTATAATTCTAAATTTTAACTTTCTTTTTTTCAGAGTTGAAATCCAGTCCTACTTTAGTGTCTATTTTCATACTGATCAACTTAAAAAATTTTTTCTCCTCTTACTACTGTTTCCTTTTTGCTATCCCTCATTATTTCATCTTGTCAGAGTTAGTCTAATGTCTCTACCTTTGGTTTTTATAGCAGTTCAATTTTAAAAGTTTAATAAAATAATCAGAATTTTACTCTGAGGTCAAATAATAGATAAAATTTTAGTCTGGTAGCAATATGAAGTAAATGAACCAAAATTTATAATATGAACATACCCTAATCTTATCTTGTATTATTTTAGGTTAATAATGTCAAATTTTAACATATTTAAATTCTGTAGGGCTTATTTTTTCCCCTTTCTTCCTATCTTTCCTTCCCTCTTTCTCTCTCCTCTTGAATCTTAAACAAGTACATTATCTACTCCATGCACAGTATTGATGTGGGGAATATAAAAGAAGTAGGAGTCTGTCTACAGAGAGCTGATACCCTGTCGAGAACATTGCAAATGTGCCCCTGAAGCATTTTAACATAATTTGAATCTCTAATCTTTAGAAATTGTAAAGGTGAAACTTTAAAAATAAATCTCGCTTTGGCAAACAGTCTGACAGTTCCTCAAATGTTTGAATGCAGAGTCACCATATGATCCAGCAGTCTTCCACTCCTAGGTATATACCCAAGAGAAATGAAAGCACATTCACTATGACATGAATGTTCATAGCAGCATTATTCATGATAGCCCAAAGTGGACAACCCAATGTCTATCAGCTTATGAGTGGATAAAGAGAGTATGGTGTATTTGTACAATGGAATATTATTCAGCAATAAAAAGGAGTGTACTGATAACATGCTACATCATAGATCACCCTTGAAAACATAATAAGCGAAAGAAGCCAGTCACAAAAGACCACATATTACAGTATTCCATTTATATGAAATGTTCAGAATAGCAAATCTATAGACATAAAGCAAATCCGTGGTTGCCTAGGACTGGGTGGAGGGGAATGACTGCTAATGGGTTTGGGGTTTTTTATAGTGATGAAAATGTTATAAACTTGATTGCAGTGACAAATGCACAACTCTGCAAATATACTAAAAACCGCTGAGTTGTATGTATGCTTTAAATGTGAAAATTGTATGAGAATTATATCTCAATGAAGTTTTTTAAAGTAAATTATCAAAAGGTTTAAAATTTATCAAACTAAGGAATATTGATTGACCATCTACACGGGCACTATACCAAGTTCTACATAAGTTACAAAACAAATGTTAAGACACAGATCCTGACCCTGACCTCAGATTGTTTACAGTTCAAGAGAAAAGGCACACATGCAATGTATCGTAGTGTACCTTTGCTTTCTGAATTTGTTCCTCATCTTCGAACCTCCTGAATTCCCTCTTCCAGCTATTTCTTGTAATGGTCCTGATCCTCTTGCCCTGTTTTTTATATTTCCCTTTTTAAAAGTGAACTGTTGCTCTTCAGACTTTGAAAAATATCAGCCCCAACCTGTTACCTTTTTAACTAACTTAAAGGACATTTTAAAGCAATAGCGGTGCCTCCAGTAACTTAAATTGGGTGACTCGTGAAAACCTATTCATTCAGCAAATACTTATTGATGTTTCATTCACAAGTAACTCTGGCAAATCATAAGACTGTTACCACTATTATTTTTAAAATTATAACAAATATCTTTTTACTACAATTTAGTCAGGTTGCATGGTGCTCAGGAGCATAGTCTTGAGTTCCAAGATTTTCATGAAAAACACCTTTTAGGAATATTTAAAAGTTAAATGTGTGTTTGGTATAGAGTTAGCTATATTGTCATTAGTATTTTGACCTTGTTGTGGTCATTAAAACTTTAAGGAAAGAGAAATTTTGTTTTAGTCGTAGTAATAGCCAAAAAGGGCTATTTTTTTAAAAGGTGGTAGATAATTAATTCTAAGTCCATCAGTTTAGACAGTTTATTTTATATGCATTTACATGCTTGCGACTATGTTATTAGTGCAGCAGCTCAACTTTTTTCTTTCTTTGCAGATGCATATGAAACAGCCAAGATGCTGTGTGAGCAGTATTACCTGGTAGCTCCAGAGCTGGAAGTTGAAGAATTCAATGGTAAAAGAAAAAGAATTTTAACTTTAAATACCAAGAAGCTGACTAAAAAACTATTATACCTGACCTGTATTTCAGTGAGATCCTAAAATTATACTGCTGTTCCATCTTTTATATCTTTTAAAAACTTCTTCTATACCTTTGGTCAACCAGGTATGTAATCGTAAGGAGTTTTTATACAGGACTGTGTAAAGTATTAGTGTATTTGAACCAAACTGGGTTCGTTTGCCGGCGCCCAAGAGAAAGCAGAACACCAAAGCACTGGGTTTTTGCAGTGAGAAATCTGCCTCCCTGAGCTGGGGATTGTAGCAGGTTTTATATAAAATTGAGAGGGTAATGAGGTATGATCTGATTGGATCTTGCAATGGAGTCACAACAAGGCTCAATCTGATTGGATCTTGGATCCTGCTGCATGCTGTCCGCTTCTTAATTAAGTCCCCACTCGTGGGTCCAAGTACTTGAGCACTTAGGTTCCGCCCATGATTGCACACTTGGTTCATCTGGGCATGCTCAGGTTACGTGACCTTCAATCTGGGGGTCCACGACAACTGCCAAACAACTCACAACTTGTTTACGTACAGGTTGAACCAGATTGGTCTGATGCAGTTAGTTAGACCCCAAAAGTTCTTGGAACAGAAGTAATCAGGTAGAAAATGCACAAAGTTATAATTAGGCAGTTCTCAAAATAACAGATGCAAGCAATCAATAAATATACGGAAAAATGTTTAACTTTACTAATCAAAGAAGTACAAACAAAAACACAGAGAAATGCCCTTTTTTGTCTTTCAAAATGACAATGACTAAAAAATTTTAATGCTTTGAATTTGTGCCCAGAAAAAATATTCTCTCAACACATACATTTCTTGTATAAGTTTTGGTATAGCCTTTCTCAAAAAGGTTAACAGTGTTCTTTCTCTGTGTGTGTGTTTGGAGGGTGAGCAAATTCGTGAACGTGTGGAAGTATTTCTAAAGGTTAGATTCCTAGACGAATGATTGAGTCTTAGGGTATGGGCATTTACAATTAAAGATAAACCAAATTTAAATAAACAAATTTAAGTAATTTAATTAAATTAGTGGTCATATTCTTTGGTCCAATAAATTAGAACATATAAGAAAATGGATTTATGTACAGTACAGATTTATGTATGAGAATGATGATCACAGTGGTTTTCTTACAGAGAAAGGTTAGAAAACAACCCAAGTTTTCAACAATAGAGGATTGTGTAAATAAATTGCAGTTCACCCGTAAGATAGACTACTATGCAGCCCATTAAAATAATGCTTTAAAAGAGTAACATGTGGGAAAAATTGAGATTTTTTAAAAATATAGGCTATGAAATTTTATAATAGTGCAAGTTCATTGGAAGATATTTTGAAGGATTTATACTACCAAAATACAAACAGCAGGCTCTTGGATAGTGGGGTTATAGCTGATTTTTATGTTAGTCACATGATTCTATATTTACATGTTACTTTTTATTTATGAATTGTGAAAGATACATGCTCATTGTGAAAATACAAATATAGAAGTGTGAGTAAAAGGTAAAAGTCACCGCTACTCTTTTAGTCCCACACAGAGCTTTGTTTTTTGCATAAATGGGGTTGAAACTATACATGTTCTATAACTTGTGTTTTTCACTTGATCTCAAAGATCTTTGCATGTATTAATCTCATTTAGAGATAATCCAGAGTATAGATTACCATAATTTATTTAACCATTTTCTTATGGGTATGCATTTAGGATTTCCAATTTTCCTATATTCCATATAATGAGCTATGAAAGGTATGTGCATGTGTTTGGAGGGTGAGAAAATTTGCAAACATGTGGAAGTATTTCTGTAGGTTAGATCCCTAGACATGGGATGACTGAGTCTTAGGTTGTGGGCATTTATAATTAAAGGTAAACCCAATTCCCTCTCAACAATATACCAAAAATGTATTTTTCTTATAATGAGATCAAAATGTGAAAAGGCTTCAGGCTTCTATTGAAGGACAATTGTCCCTCCATCCTACTCAAAGGTATGAAGTCAAAGCTGCTTTCAAGGTCTCTTGGGTTCTCTGAGAAGAGTTGTGCCACCATTTTGAATAAATACACAGCCAGAACCAAGTGGGCTTGGCTTGAATGCTCCTGATTAGAAGCATCTTAATATTCTATTTCTTCCTTCCTACTGGCTAGGGGGGACCCGACCTAACGGCCAGATTTATATTTGTCAAACAATAGAACTTAAGTCTGTAGGTAGTAACAAACTGCTCTTTTTCGTGGGTGGCAGCCTCCCTCAGCCTGAAGGCCAGAGCACATTCCTTCCCAGCCAAGGTTGTCATGCTGGGTGGTCACACACCATGGGAGGAGCCTTATGACTATTTTTGGCACCATCTCCTGAGTGATATAAGCCCATTTTCTGTCATAATTTGAAGCCCCTTTCCCGTCAGTAAGGTACATGAATGCTGCTGGTTAGAGGTAGCCTCTAGTTTTGTGTTGATTTGGGCAATGTAGTTATGATTTACATTTGTGATTTCTTGAATGCCAGAGCTCTTTGCAAGCATGATTAAAGAATGTGCTTTAGCCCTAACAAGTTCAATGTTAGATATGCAGGTCAGAGGTTGGTCCTGAACACCGTAAGTGGATAGTTTTGCTTTATAAGGAGAGAGCTTGTGTGCTTTGTGCAATATGACAGCTGACTCTGTTTTCTAAGGGAGGAGTCAGATGCACATTCATGTGGATTCATTTTCAGAGCTTGTCTAAACTAGCGCAGCATCCCCTTTTGGGATTCTTTCATAACACAACAGGTACCCTTAACAATAGAGTGATACCACTTGCTGCTCTGGCCTTCAGAGTAAGTGAGGCTGCCATTAGACTGAAAGAACAATTTGTTGCTGCCTGAGAATTTAAGTTCTGTTTGTTTGGCATATTATCTTTTGTTTCTGAATTTTAGATTTTTTTTTTCTCTTTCCCAATGTGGACCCCGGAGAGAGTAGTAACTAAGATTATCCAGAACATAATGGTGGGAACACCATCAGTATTCACCAGTCAACACTAGAATTCTGAATATTGGGGGTAAGCTATAGTAAATTTCCTTCATTGTCCTTTCTGTAACACATTTAACAGGAGCATTAAAAATAACAGAATTTTATTTATCTTAGATCAGCCTTCAAATATTTCTGAAATATTTGAATATTTGGGAAATATTTCTCCAATATTTCTGCCATCTGTGGCAACCAGTAATCCATTTCTCCAGAGTCAAGAGGCAGTTTCATCATGCTCGTTCTCATTCTCTCACCATTCTCATTCAGTTGCCAAAACATTAAACAAAGAAAGATTTTTACCTTATCTTTTTTTCGTCCATATGGCAAGGTGGCATGGCTTGGGGAAAGATGCGAGCTTTGTAGCTAGCTAAGCAGTGGAAATCCTGGTTCTAACATTTATGAGGCGTAGGCCTTAGAAAATCAGTTTGCTTCTGAAACACTCAGCTTCCTCATCTGTAAGCTCGACTTGCAGGGTGGTAGAAGGAGAATGTCTCTAGCACCGCAAATATTGTACCAGGTACATATCGGATATATAGTAAAGGGTGGCTACTGGAAGTCAGGGTTAACTTGGGAAAGATAAGACTTATGGTCACCACTTGCATTTCTTCACCATTTCTATTATACATTGGTCTTTTCTGTCAAGAGGATGATTCATAGCTTTGGGTTTGGAGGAAAATATAAAAATTTCAATTCATACTATATATATTTCATTATAAAAGGGTTCATAGAAAAAGTATATGTCTATCCTGGGATCTTTGACCTCTAATTTCCCCACATTGGATACCTTTATGGATACTTTCAAGTGGTTCCATACAACAATCAGAAAGTCATCACTGGTAGCTCTGTTAACACTGTAGAAATTAATATTTAGTAATGACAACAGCCAACATTTTTTGACTGGTTACTATGTGGTAGGCTCTGTGTAAACCAGTTTATCACCATCATCTCATTTAATCTTTCTGTTAACACAGTGAGATGTGGACTGTGCCCATTTCAGAGATGGAGCACTGAGGCCCAGATAAGGTTAAATACCTATTAATAGAGCTATCAAATGCCAGAGTCAGGACTTGATCCCATTGTGACTGAGCCATACTATATGCTGTTTCTGATAGCCTTATCCATTGATCCAGCTACCTTTTCTTTTAAATACCTTTTTTCTACTTAGCCTCCAGGGTTTTTTTTTTATTCTTGTAGGAGAACAAAATAAAAATCATTATGTCTGTCTATGTAGAGTTCTATTAGTATTTATTAAATGCAGGTTCAATTAATGGCATTTGGAGCATTGACTGTGCAAAATAGAAACTTTATTATTTCTTGAGTCTTGAGCATGAAAAACCTGGACCATTTTTTTCCATTGACTTTTAAAAATGTACCCATAGATAGAAAATTCATGTTTCATTTGTGTCTTATTTTAGAAAATCAGCAAACATCTATAAGACATCTACTACTTAACATCCACTAGACCCAAGATTAGGGAAGAGTCATGGACAGAAGCATTTGACATGGTTTTAAAAGGAAGGAAAGAAATCTAAACTATAATGTTCCCAAAGGAAAGTGCAAGTAATTGAGCAAGGCTTTAGAGGGCTCCTAGAGATGTTATTTAAACTGAAAACAAAACAAAACTGTGAAAGGCATTTTCATTTCCTTGAGATTTAAAGTGAAAAGTTTGAATTCATAAGGTTGTTTTTATAACTAATCACGCCTTTTGGTACAAGATAGACGGAGCACTCAACTTGCTCTTCAGGCCCCAGGGGAGCTCACCAGTGGGCACTCTCCTAGTCTGTTCAGGCTGCTACAACAAAAATACCAGACCCTGGGTGGCTTAAACAACAAACATTTATTTCTCATGGTTGTGGAGGCTGAGAAGACCAAGATCATGGTGCCTGCAGATTTGGCGTCTGCTGAGGCCCCACTTCCTGGTTTGTAGATGGCTTCCTAGCTGTTTCCTCATGTGGGAGAAGAGGAAAGGGAGCTCTCCGGAGTCTCTTTTACAAGAACACTAATCCTATTCATAAGGGCTCTGGCCTCACAAACTAATCACCTCCCGAAGGCCCGGCCTCCTAATACCATCACCTTGGGGGCTAGATTTCAATATGTGAATGTTGAGGGACGCAAACATTCAGTCCAGAACAACCACTAATCCCAACTTTTGAGAGAAGGTCACCAGATGGAAGTATGCTGATTGGTGGGACAGAGCAGAAACAGCCCCAAAGGAGGAGGCTGCAGCAAAGATGGCAACCGGTCTGCCAAAGGTTATCCTGGAGGGACCCTGGGAGCAGGGCCAGGCGGTGCAAAGGACTGGAATGGGAAGGGAAGGCCGAAGGGAAGGGGTTAACTGAAAGCTGGTTATGGAGGGATGATGAGGGGGGGAGCATCTGGACTCTGGCCAGGCTCTGCCTGCTGACAGCCAAATAAGACTAATTTGTTCAAGAACAAGCTGGGAAGAACTGGGACTGTTCATGTGAGTGTTGTCACCCCAAAGTAAAGCCCTCTGCATTTAAGCATTCTGGGGTCCTCTCTGTCTTTCAGAAAAGTACAAGGCAATGTAGAGAATAGTTAGGGTTATAGAACGGAATGCAAATGTGATCAACCAAAAGACTGCAGCAGAAACAGTGAAGAGTGGCTGCCTCTGGGGGCAGACTGAGGGGTGAGATGGGGAAGGGGGAGGGACTTTTGCTTTTCTTCTTTCATTAAATTTTTAAACCATTTGTATATATTACTAAATTTTTTTAAATAACTGCTTGTCAAAGGGTTCAGGATTTAGAATCAAAAAGTCTTGGTTCAGGTGTCCAGTTTCAGTGCCACTTCTAGTGCCACGGGCAAGTGACACAGGCTCTCCGAAGCCTGTTTCCTTACCTCTAAATAACGCCACCCGGCCTAGGAGCCAGGAAGTGTTGTCAGGAGGAGTCAATTGAATAATGTGTGTGGAAGCTTTTTGTAAACTGCTGAGAATCAAACAAATGTGAACTCTACGTTATTGTTACTTACTTTATTAGAGGAAGTAGTTAGGTTGAAATTATAGCATGGGTGAGCATGTCTGCATTCTACTTGGGAAAGTTCATGTCATTTCAATCTCTTAAGTGATTTCAGGTCATGAGGAGGAGGAAGGATTAAATTTTTGAGCATCTACTCTCTACCCCACGCTGTTCTGAGTGCTTGACATGGGATTCGGTATTTCTCAGATTTCCCTCAGACGATCCCTGACGCGAGGAGAAAAGACTGTAGGTCTCCGGGGGTTTAGCCGCTAGTAGAAAAAGTTATGTGACCCTTACATTCTATTCTATACTATGCCTTGTTTGTAATAATTTAACAAATTTAACACTGCTGTTAATTCCAGCTCACCGGCCCTCTCTCTCCTATAGCCCCACATTCCCCCTGCTGACCACCGGGGTCAGTGGTGGGGTGTGGGGGTGTCCTCCAATTTGAAAAACACCAGGTGCTGTTTGGATGGCCTTATGTCATGCTCAGGACATTGTAAAGTAGGTGATAATATTCCAGTTCTGCTCAGCGAGGTTTCAAAGAGATCAAGTGATTTGTCCAAGGTCACATATAGCTGGTAAGTGAAAGAACTGGGTTTCACCCCAGGTTTGTTTCATTCCGAAGCATATCCTTTTGCTCGGCCCTGCCTTTAGAGGTGGAAACCCAAATGAACGTTTTATAGAGTTCCATTTTATGTGCTTGGAAAATAGAATGCAAACATCATTCTTGACTTTCTCCTAGTTTGGGTCCTTACTCATTGACGGTTTTGTCTCTGTTTTCAGCCAAAGCGCCAGACAAACCTATTCAGGTAGTTTATGTGCCCTCACATCTGTTTCACATGCTATTTGAGTTGTTCAAGGTAAGTGTAATTTAAAAACATGGAAAGAAGTCTTCATTTTAAATTACTTTGATTCAAGGCATAATGGATTCATTAGATTAGCATAAGAAAAAGGTTTTGCATAACCATTTTAAAAATTCTATTTCTGATATCCTGTGGGTTTTATAATTTGTACACTGTGAGACGAAAAATTGATGTGTGCAGTATAGTTTTCATGAATATTAGTACATATTGATTTTTAAACTTAATCGTACTTTAGTGATTTTATGTAAAATCTATACTGTTTTTTCTTCACTTATGAGATTAGAGATGCTTTTTAGTTTCCAAACCTGGCAAGGGCTTTTTTGGTGGTAGCCAGATCAAAATAAAAACATGTTTATGCATATTTATGCTTCAGAACACTAACCATGTTAGTGCATTAGTGGTTATTCCATTACTGAGAGATCCTATAGTCCTTTTACATATTTGATTCAATTCAGAAGATCTGTGAGAGGCAGAGAGGAAAGATACGGACTGGCTGGACCAAAAGGACCAAAAATCTCTTTAGATTCTATAGCTTAAGCTGTTGCTTTTGTTAACCAGTAGCTAATGGCATTTGAGCTCAACTTCCGTTTCTTCCAATGTGTGAAACACTAAATTGAACACCTGAAAAATCAGTTATGCTGATTTTCTTCCAAAAATTAGAATGTTACTGATGTAACACTTTAAGGTTGAGATGGGCATTCAATTGTGAACTTTCTCTTCAACAGCTGTGGCTTTTTCAGAAGTTCTTTTTAATTGATATTTCTTCTACTTTTTTTCAGCCAAATGATTAATTTTTGTGGGAAGCATGAATCCTTTCAGTTTTTCTGCCTTCTTTAGAGAGAAGGTGCTCTATAAATGCAGACTGATAAATAGGATTTAAAGTGCACAAATCAGCCTCTGCACAGCCTCATTACATGTGATAAAAACATTCCTCTGGGTTGAATTGAATAATTTAAACACTCTAAAGCAGAAATAAAAAAAAGGAAGGAAAGAAAGAAAAATAAATATGTAGCATGTTGGATGGGGCTAAAACTAAATGAAAAACAAAGTGTCAGGAAAATTTTCCCTTGATCTGAACACATGTTTAGCTAAGCTCTTTAGAGGGGGAAAAAATGCCATATCAATCCAACTAATATTTTCTCCACAAAAGAATTGTTGGGTATAAGTAATCTTGGGTTTGTTTCTTTTTTAAAATTGTGGTTTGTGAGTCAGTAGTATGGTTTATTAAAAAAAGGTCTTATTATTTTAGAACTCAATGAGAGCAACAGTTGAACTCCATGAAGATAGAAAAGAGGGCTACCCGGCTGTTAAAACCCTTGTTACTTTGGGGAAAGAAGACTTATCCATTAAGGTAACTGCTTTATGTGCATGCATACTTTAATTATCAGTTGATTTAATAGTGTCTAGACATTGAACAATCAGAGGGAAGGGAAGAAAACTGACATTTATTGAGTGTCTTGTTTGTACGTACTGTGCTAGATCCTTGGCTTAAGTTACCTCATTTAAACTTTATTAGAACCCTGTTATTCAGGGAGCTGAACAAGACTTCACTCCCAAGCCTGTCGGATCCCACTGTCCTACTCTGCCTCCTTTGTTTTACACTGTTCACAAAGGAACCATATTTCATTGGGAGGTTCAAAGGACTTGTACATTTTAGAGTCATCTGGTGTGTACTTTATTTAATGAGCTCATTGCCTCCTACTAACTATAGATTGACTTCCTTTTTTTGATTTTTTAACATTTTGTACACTGCAGATAAGCGACCTAGGTGGCGGTGTCCCACTTCGAAAAATAGATCGTCTTTTTAACTACATGTATTCAACTGCTCCTAGACCTAGCCTGGAGCCTTCAAGAGCTGCCCCTTTGGTAAGCATCTTAAACTGCTGCTGAAGGAGAGATCATTGACGTGGGGAGGGATTCGGAGAGAGCTTCTCGTCTCCCCAGATAGTTGTCCTCTTTGAATTAGGATGTTTCCTGTACAGTTTGGAGGAGGGGGAATTTTTTGCCTCAGCTACTTGCTTTGTGACTCCTCTGGACTTAGATTTCTTCTCTAATTTGTGTTTAAGAAACACCCTGAGCTGAGTGCCTTACTCCCAAATGCGGAGCAAAAGCATTTCACTGTGGTAAGATTGCTACCAGAGCGCCGTTTAGCACCTAGCACTACCCTTGGAGCGGGTGGAAGTTACTGGTGGGTGAGCGAAGGGGCAGCACAGGCTGTATAGCTGCAGCTTGGTCCTGTGCACCTTGGCGCCGCACACCATAGACGCTCGAGAATCACCTAGTGCCTTTGAATCTCCACCATCAAATTTGTTTATATAATTAAAATGTTAAATTATGGAAACATTAAATTTTTATATTAAATAACATTAGCGTGAAACATACAGGTGGTGTATGCATTCTCAGAGCCCTTTCTGTCTCACTCTGGAAATAACCTTCAGCCCTATTAAGACAGTGAGAAAAAGCCTCTGGTTACCATGGTAGCATTTAGATCCCGGTAGGGCCACACTTTCTTCCCCTGCTGAGTGTTTCTAATTGACAAACAACAATTGAACCCTTTGTCATTAAACACAGTAACATATCTATCAGTCTGCAGAATGGTTCAGGGTATAAATTAAGTTTCATTTAAAAGTCCTACCTGACGGATAAGCACATAAGATTATATTTTATTTGTATGAATAAAACCAAACATTTTACATTGTTTATTTGAGACAGTCTGTTAACTCAGCATGTCGAAAACATAGAGGAAGTCATTTATATCAGATTCAAGAAAATTCGTGAAAGACTGAATTTGAAAGGCATTGCCTTGACCAGGCTCCTACTTAAATAAACATCAAAAGACAAAAAGACACTATAAACAAATCTAGTGCCTTCCCCAGTTGTTTAAAAGGAATTTGGATCATCTCTTCCAGGTCTTAAAATAGCATCTTGAGGATAACTGTTATGTCAGAGTTGGTTTTCTTTCTTTCTTTTTTTTTTTTAATCAAACTGGGAAATTCAAGTAAGAGACCTTAAAAAATTATGTGTCTACCCTCCCATTGTATAGAGGAGGAAACGAGGAAATGACCTTACCCAAGGTCATCGAGCTAACTAATGGCAGAGCCAGTGCTGGCTATGTTTGTGTTCTTTCCGGTGTACCATGTGGCCTCTGCCTTTGAAGAAGGCTTCCACTAGTGGCTCTCCCGGTTAGGAAACTGTCCTCAGCTTTAAAGCGGGTACAGGATACATACTACTGGAAAACAATTTCCTCACCAAACAACGTAGTTTTACACCTCTGTTCCTTGACACATGTATTTCTTTTTTGAGGGTGTCTGCTCAGCTAACTCCTACTGACCCTTTGACATTCTGAGAAACCTTTTCTGGACCTCACCAAATCCGAGGTCGAGGCCCCTCCTCTGCATTCCATGGGAGTCTGGGCATTGGCCTCAGAGTTCTCAGCTGTTCCTGTTGGACATGAGGGCAGGGTATGGGCCTTGCTTTAACACAGGAGGCAGATTTCCTCAGGTGTCTTTCTGAAATATGCCGGGTTCTTTGCTGTGGTTCCTTCAGTCACTACTATGGCTGTCTCATCTTCACTGCTGGCCATATTCAGCCAGTCCTAAAGCCCTTAAATGATAGGGTACATTCTTTCCCCTTCCCCTGCCATTTCAGTTAGGCCCAACCCTGAGGATCCAGGAGAGGTATTAGAAAATGGCAGAAATCCATGTAACTTGGTAAAATTGCCGCTCTTAGTAGCCGTAATACCAGCTTCCATTTATTTATTTTTACTATGTGTTAGGCACTATGCTAAGACTTTATGCTTATTATACCATTTAATCCTTATAGCAGCTCTCAGGTAAGCTTTTTATTACATGTTCAGATGAGAAAACAGTCTCAAAAAGTCACACAGAAAGTGGATTTCAACTGGGTTCTTTCCTGACTCTAAGGCCCAAGCAGCCACAACTCTACATGTGCATGACCTGACCCCTCTGCCCTCCGTCCTTAACCTTGTGGATAGACTTAATCAGAGGTGACAAAGCTTGGTAGCACGGCATCTCCCCCCTCCGCTACCATCACAAAAGTTATTGCATTTAGTCTCAGTTATTCTCATTGTTCTCGCCCATATCTAAGACCTTGGAGATCTTTTTTTTAAAAAAAAAAAAAAAACACCTGTTATTGACAGGGTTCTATCAGGGTTCATATGTCCTATATGCCATAGAGACATAGAGGGTACTGGAAGTTTTGTCTCTAAAATATATAAACTACGATATATCAAAATACTGTAACATTCCCAGAACCTTAGGAAGTTGCCTCTCAGAAAATTTTCAGTGTTTTAGCCTTGTTACTGGTAGATTTGAACTCCTGTGCTATTAATTTTCACTTCAAAGAACAAGGAAATCTGATAATGGAACTTTGAAATGATGTTTAGTTTTGTTATCGGATAAAATTCCACTTGATTTGGGATTTGCTTTTAAAAAAGGACTAAAACTTTGCTTTAAAATACTAAAAGAACATTAATCAAAAATTGGAATATTTCTATTATTATCCAAACATATAAGGAGTGTTTTTACAGGGTGAAAATAGATTGTCATAGATGAGCATGTACATCATTGTAAAGGCTGAATCATTAACTTATTTGATTTAAATCGAATCAAGAATTTGTTTTAATCTTGTGTCAATGGTCCTCATGTGAAACATGTTAGCATTTGTGCTTGTCTCACTGAATTAATTTTCTTTTCTCAATAGGCTGGATTTGGTTATGGTTTGCCAATTTCTCGTCTATATGCTAGATATTTTCAGGGAGATCTAAAACTGTATTCCATGGAAGGAGTCGGTACCGATGCTGTCATTTATTTGAAGGTACTACATTTTGATTCTGTTACTATAAAGGCATCTTTACTTTTTAAAGCTGTAAGGTCAAATCACTAATCGAGAATAGCACTGTATCATCTCTCCCATTTAGCTCAGATTTACTTCAGTTTCACGTGAAGACCGTGTTATACCTCACCCTTGGTTTTATGTTCAAGCATAGCAAAATATGAAACATGGAGATACAAAAATTAAAATATTGATTTTTAACAAAATAATTCTAAATTTTGATTTTTAAAAATTGCATGTCCATTTGAAAGGGCTAATCTAAAAGGAGGCAGATTTTCATAATTTGAAGTCTTTTATTTTAAAAACTCACTGGCTTTCCCAAAGTTACAAGAATTCAGGAATCATAATATGATTATATAAAAGGTAAATCTAATAACAAAATTCACCGTAGCACAGTTTTTCTCATTCATTGGTGGTGGTAGAATATTTGGAGCATTTTTTGAATAGGTGATATAGGCACATAATAAAAATTTTAAAGCTACAAAAGGGAAAAACTAAATCCCTGCCACTGGCCCTAAACTACCAGTTCTCTTCCCCAGAGGTAGCCACAAGTCCAGGTTTCTTATGGATCCTCCTAGACTTGATTCTGCATTTATAAACATATGAGAAAAAATCTAATTTTTCCCCCACATAAATGAAAGTTCAGCACCTTGCTATTTTTTTGTTTTTTTTTTTTTAGTTTCCACCAATATGTCTTGGAGATCTTTCCACATCAGTTCATATAGAACCGGCTCATTCTTTTTAACAGTGACAAAGTATGCCACCACAGGTTATGCATCCCTAATCCAAAAATCTGAAATCTGAAGTGCTCCAAATATCTGAAATATGAAATGCTCCAGAATCCAAAACTTTCTGAGTGGCAACATAATGCTCAAAGGCCATGCTCATTGGAACATTTCAGATTAGGGATGCTCAACCAGAAAGTATAATGCAAATATTGCAAAATCCAAAAAAAAATTTGTAATCTGAAATGCTTCTGGTTCTGAGCACTTTGAATACGGGATACTCAACCTGTATACGTGATGCCATAATTTAACCAGTTATTTGAAGTATTTATCTTTGATGCCAATGCATCTAAATGATGTGATATCTGATATCACTTCATGGTGTATGTTTATAAATCTGATATGTTTGAGACTTTATTTCTTCCTGGACCCTTTGGGAGAACAGTTGCCTACTATACAATAGTGTTTGGTCTAAGAATATATAGTCAAAACAGTTGAGCATCTTAAAGAGGTATTAACAGAATTAAAATATGTTTTGTTCTGGTCATGTGTACTTCAGTACTGGTTTTGAATGAGTGAATGTTTTTATTCCTTTAAAAAGAGCTTCAAGTTTTTCCTGGCCAGTCTAAGTAAACTACTAAAATATAATTTTGATATAATTTCAAAAATATGCATTAAGGTTTCTGATGTTTTAAATAGTAAAATTTAGGTAAATATTTCACATGAGAAAAATGCCACTGTGGACCTTTGGTGTATATTTTTGTTTTTCCAATAGGCTCTTTCAAGTGAATCATTCGAGAGACTTCCAGTTTTTAATAAGTCCGCATGGCGCCATTACAAGACCACGCCTGAAGCTGATGACTGGAGCAATCCCAGCAGAGAACCTAGAGATGCTTCCAAATACAAAGCTAAACAGTAACGTACCACTTTGATTTCCATTATAAAGTATCTGATTTGTCCCCAGAGTGTATTAATACCATCTAGGTGATTGACTGTTACTTTCACCTAAGTTTTCTTTGCAGTTTTATCACTGGAAAAGCAAAGTGATCCCTAGAGAAAGAAAGATTGGAGCACTTTTCACCCCAGACAGAAAGATAGCAAGAATTGGGTAGCCAGAGTAGCCATTGAGATAGAGGTCCCACTGTTCCAGGAATTCTCGTATTGTAGAGGTATTAACAACAGAGAGCAGGGCTTTGGCCTGCCATGAATTTTGTTTAAAAAGCAATTAAGCTAGCACTCTGGGAGGCCAAGGCGGGTGGATTGTTTTGAGTTCAGGAGTTCGAAACCAGCCTGAGCAAAAGCGAGACCCCGTCTCTACTAAAAATAGAAAGAAATTAATTGGACAACTAAAAATATATAGAAAAAATTAGCCGGGCATGGTGATGCATGCCTGTAGTCCCAGCTACTTGGGAGGCTGAGGCAGTAGGATTGCTTGAGCCCAGGAGTTTGAGGTTGCTGTGAGCTAGGCTGACGCCACGGCACTCACTCTAGCCTGGGCAAAAGAGTAAGAAAAAAAAAAAAAAAAAAAAAAGAAGCAATTAAGTTTGCAATTTGCCATCATCCTTAGAGATTGACAGAAGAATGTTTACAGAAATGTCGTGGGTTCGAACTGAAAAAAATGAAGTTAAAATTATCAATCAAGATTAAAAAATGTGGTCTATCCATACAATGGAATATTATTTGGCCTTAAAAAGGAAGGACATTCTCACATATGCTACAACATGGATGAACCTTGAAGTCATTATGCTAAGTGAAATAAGCCAGACACAAAAGGATAAATACGTGATTCCACTTATATGTGCTACCTAGAGTAGTCAGATTCACAGACAGAAAGTAGAAGTGTGGTTGCCAGGGCCCCGGGGTGGGGGGGGAGAGGAAATGGGGAGTTGTTTCATGGGTGCAGAGTTTCAGGTTGGGAAGATGAAAAGGTTCTGGAGATGGATGGATGGCGATGGTTGCACAACAGTGTGAATGTACTTAATGCCAATGAACTGTACACTTAACCATCGTTAAGTTCAATGTTATATATAGTTTGTCACAATAAAAAAATTTAAAAACAAGGAAAAAATTATCACAGAATAAAAAGTTTCACTATTTTATGGTAATAAGAAACATAATCCGATCTTTGGCTTTCAATTTTTTTCTTCTGACTACCTTTAAGCTCTAACTCTACTAGCAACAGTAAGGATTCTGTTTCTTTGTTTAAGATAATCTTTTATTAATAGAAAAGTAGTATATGTGCATTATAAAAAATTAGAAAACATAAATAAGCCAAAAAAGAAAGGAGAAACCACTGTGTTCCCACAACCCAGAGATTGCCACCGTTCCAGCTTTTTGTCTGTTCTTCCAGATGTTTTGCTATTTGTATACACATGTATTTTTCCCCAAATGAGATCACACTGTTCATACTGTTTTACAACCGGCTTTTGTTTCATTCAACCATCCCTATCTTTCCATGATAATAAATTTTCATCTCATTCAAATTCCTTTGATTTATCTAAACTGAGATCTCTTCCAGGACCACATAATACATCTGGGTAATCTCAAGTTGTTTTTAAGCCAGTACATTTTGTTGTTCAGAGACCATGTCAGTTCTCTTGCAAAATGTCCCACCTCGATTTGCTTGCTTCTTTAAAATGTCATTTGGCTTGTTCCCCATTCCCTGTATTTCCTGTAAACTGGAAGCTGATTAAGGCTAATGGAGAAATTTTTGCTAGAATATTCCATAAGCACTGTTGCATTACACTATAAGACCCATGATAGCTGGTTGATCCCCCATTAAGTGATGTTAAGATTGACCATAGTTTAGGTGATGGCTGTCTGATCCCTCCTCGGCATAGTTATTTTTCCCTTTTTCACTAGAAAGTAATCCATGTGGTATGTTGGCACCATACAAACGTATCCTTACCCATCAGCCATTCACCTAATGATTTTTACCCCCATTGATTATTTTGACTCGATTTCAAGGTAAGAAGTTGGGTTAAAAGCCGCCATCAATGATGACAAGTGAGTTTATGGCTCTGTCATTTTGAGTATTAAGGATATTATAGATTTTTATTACTTTGATATGTTTTAATCAGTATTTATATTTATTGAAGCATAACATGTAGTAGTAAAGTGCACAAATCTTAAGTTTACAGCTTGATATATTTTTACATCTGTATTTGTAGTGCCCCAAAAGTCCCCTTTCGAATCAAACTCCTCTCCCTCCCCACTCTCCACCATGTAACCATTTTTCTGTCTCTGTCACCATAGATTCTCTTCTTGAACTTAAAACAAAAGTAACATAGTGCGCACCCTTTTTGTATCTGGCTTTCTGTGAGTTTCATCCATGTTATTGTACATAGTCGTGCTTTTCCTTTCTGATGCTTAAATTGGCTCACTTTTGGCCAGTGGGAGCTATTTCAAGCTGGATCCTCTGTATTCCATTGACATAAAACCATTAATCTTTGAAAGTTTTCTTGCCCAAGATGATGTCCCAACCTTACGTCTTCTGTGCCCCTGTCCTGGAATCAACCATTTCCCCCAAGGAGACCTGTTTCTTTTTAATCAGTATTAGAGACTGTAATCCGGGAGTTGAGAGTGTTTATTATACCTTTCCTAGACCCTTTTTCTGGACGGAGATACACACAAACACACACATATATAATGTTCATATTTATATCTTTATTCTCTTAACATTGCAGTTTCTCCCTAATGTATTTTAATTGTATATATTTCTTCTCACCCTGAAAACCTTGATTCTTGATATCCCCAACATAATGCAACAGAAAGATATTTGTACATAAATATGTTAATAGTTTATATATCAATAGCTTTGCAATTTTGTACCATTATAGTAGCATTGGTCTTTTCTGATAAGTAATATAAAGGGTATCTATATTGGTGTTTATTTTTTTCTGTGGAAATGTCATGATGGACGTCAGTGCATTATTGCTGGACTGGCCACTCATCTCAAATGACAAAATTTAGAAGAGTTTGGTTTATACACACACCCCATTCGTGGCTGAGATTAAGGTAAACCAGCTTGAAATACCTGGATCAGATCAATTTCCCTCGATTCCATTTTCATTTTGTGTGTAAGTCAAATAGCATGTTCAGCATCCTTGTGACCAGTTAATTCAAAGTATTGTTCTCATCAGTGGAGTAATTTGAGTAGTGCAAAAGCTATCTTTATAAATAATAAGGTCTGTTTTGGTTGCAAAAGGTAGCCTCAATTGAATATTGTTTTAAAGGTGATTCTAAAACTCTAAATAGCTTAGCAGGTTGTATGCTAATTAAATATGAGTCTTAATTTCCAATATGTTATTAGACAGACAAATTTTAGTAGAAAGCCATTTTTAGAAGTCTAAAATGCTTAGCCTGACAATTAAAATTGCTAAACTATACAAATAAAATAATCGGTAGACATTTGGGGAAAGTGTTTAGTAGTTCTGATAAATTCACTAGGTGTTTATATGTGAGAAATTCTAAGAAAATTTATTCTTAAGGAAAATTTTCTTAGAAATTGTAAGAAAATTTATTTGCTAAACAGTTTTTTAGTAACAGCTTTATTGAGATTCACATACCATAAAATTCACCACTTTAAAATATACGATTCAGTGGTTTTTAGTATACTGAGAGTTGTGCAACCCTCCCTACTATCTAATTTTAGAATATTTTCATCACCCCAAAAAGAAACCTCATACCCATTAGCAGTCACTCTCCATTTCTAATCAGGGTTTTAACTGAGAGTAAAGAACCATTTTAAAGTATATGTAAGTAATTAAGTGGTAATTCTTTTTCTGTGGTAACCATAAAAAATAATTCAGAGATAAGGCAAGGGTTTTTGGATTAGTACTATAACTAAATGTTCTAAGTCAGTCTTGGTTAAAACAGAGGAGGTTGTACTCATAAACTCACTATGGATATTCCCATTATTTTCTTTGTAGGGACAAGATCAAGACTAATAGAACTTTCTAAAGAACTGAATGCTCTGGTCCTCTCTGTGAAGAAAGATTATCATCTGCAACTCAACCAGAGAGGACTCCTTCCACCAACTCTGAGCGTGGCACCATAGTTATTCATTCCTAGTGCTTGAATATGTATTGTCTCCATACCAGCTGGACCTTTCTATGGAGTTTTTCCTGTAGTTACTTCAGATCTTCCACTAAAGTAGTAGCTGGAGTAATTTTGCATAGTGTCTTGCTGCGGTGTGGTTGGCGCCTGTCACAGAAGAGCACAGAGCCTCCCTGGAGCTCTCGTGCCCCGTGCTCTCCATCTCGTCCTCGTAGAGTCTCTAGTGTCTATAGTGCCCCCAGGGTTTGAGCTCCTCCCCCATTCCAGGAACAGCAGATCCTACTGTTGCTCTTTGTGACCAAATACCGTATTTGTCCCAAACCTCCAACTAGGGCCTGGAGAACTGGGAGGTAGAAGACATCAGCTGAGCATGCCTTGAGGATTCAGTCCCAGGGCCCTTCCTCACTCCTGTGCATCCCTCCTCCACTCTCTGATTTAGACTCTGCCTTCTTCCATCTGATCGGATTCTCATTGTGAGGTGTGGCTACTTCCATGTTAGATCTTACTCATTGATGCCTTGATTTTATTTTAAAAATCATTCGTGTACTTCTATTGATTAAAGTGTTCCAAAAGTTGTCTTGAAATTTTTCACCTAACTGCTTGGTTTCAAAGATCTTAAGTGAAAAGTTGCCTCCTGGTCAATATCAAGTTTGTAGAGTGGGAAGTGGAGTTTTTATGCTTCTGTCAGACTTTCATCAATCTAGTATTGTACCTTTGTCATATTATACTCCTTTGTAGTCTTCTAAGGGATTGGATTTTCCTGTGTGATGCACTTTACTAGTTGCAAAATAGACTAGTTTATGTTGTAAAATAGACTATCTAGCTTATGTTGGAAAATGCTCTAGGTCTTCATAATTTTCATTTGTATTCATTTTAGCCAGTTTTAGAATTGTCAGTACAATGTGGTTTTCACAATCCTTTACTTTTTGCAGTAAAAGTTGGAAGTAGCAATTGGCAGAGAACTTGGGTAAGGAAAGAGGAATGATGTTATATTTACCCTTAGAAACAGAAGTGATCTAAGAGTCCAGATTAAAACCAACATCTTACACAGCTCCACAGGATGTGCTTCTCTTCACGACAGTTTTTCATATGTATCATCTACTCTGACTTCTGCCCTCTTTTAATGTCTGTGTAAACGTTTCAGTCCAAGTTTGAAGTACTGAGTCCACTGATGTAGAAGTTTTAACTTACAAACTATTCCTCCTCCTTTAGTCATACTGTAATATCAATGCACTTGTCCCCAGTGCCACAGCAGTGGGGGGATTTTTCCCTAGGAGGAGTTGTGGTCTGACCAGCTGCATGTGTCTCTGTTACATCTCTGTTTCTCTTAGTTTCTCTGAGTCTGATTTTCTTTCATTTCTTTATATTACCTGAGCTTATGATAGTTCTCTTCATCTTTAGAAAGATCTCATGTCTTCCATCCCTAGAAGCATCTCAACAGGGAACTCATATATAATGATTCAGGTAAAAGAAATACCAATGTACTTCTGAGAGAATGGTAAGAGATGGGTCATATGTTGGCCGGTTGGTTTGAGGACCGAGTCAGTGTCTGGCAGATGGGACTGTTCCATGTGATTATTTTTGTGTTCTGTAAAAGATTTAAAAATAATGGTCCTTCACATTTAAAGACCCTAGCTTCCTCACAAACATTAGATGTATATCAGTATCTAGGCCTCGGTTTACAACCACACTCCTTTATATTTTCAAGTGTAATACACTGTAGGAGAAAGGAGGCAACAGATTTAAGTCATGCTACCCATGACCTTGTTCTGGCAGTGTTTTCAGTGTTTGCTGCACCCTCACAAGCAGCACATGGAAGGGTTAAATACGGAAAATGTGGTATAGAAAAATCCTATCACATTCTTCCCTTGTACAAGTCTTTTTCAAAAGAAAAGATTTATTTCAGTGTTGTGATGACCTAATCGGTAGTCGTTTACTAACATACTTTTTAGCTTACTCATCTCCATCTGACCTGAGCACAATCTTGCTTCTCCTGTCTTTGTTTTCTCCATTAAGAGTTTGTCTTTGCTTTTAAAGCAACCACAAGAAGATTTTCAGGAACATCTTGCATTCTCACGGTTTACCAAGTATTTATTTATCCTTTTTCATCAGCTATATGTGATTCTCTGAACTCAAACACATCTTCTAGCTGTTTGCTGGCTTTGTCTATAAGCAAATGGTGAGATTTTCACATATAGGTTGTAACATAAATAGACATTGACCCTTTTTCAGTTGAATTCTTTCCCAATCCTCTGTATTGCCCTCTCATTTACTCTGTTTTAAGTATTTGGGGGCCATGTCTACTATTTGAAATAGTGCCTGGCACATAGTAGGTACTTAATAAATATTAGTTGAATCAAAGAATGAAAACTGACAGACATTTACCTTAGGTGGTGGAGCAACATCTAAGTTCTTAAACCGTCATTGCCTCCAAAGTAAAAATAATTCAGGTCAGGAGCTGTGGATGGACTGAAATTTCCTTTCTATAGTGCTAAGAGATGACTTTAAAATGTAGAGAAATGAAAGGAAAGAAACAGGGATAGATGCACAGGAGCCACCTGCTCCTTTCTGTCTCTGATTTTGGCTCCTCAATATAGGGGTTCTTTTCATCCAAACATGACGTGATTTTCCAGCCTTGCTTATAGATGCCAAAGAACTTTCACTTACAGCATCCCATTTGATCCTTATGATGCTATGAGGTGGACCGTGCAGGTGTGTCTCTATTTTTCATATGAATCCCAAGACTTAAGTGGTGCAGAGGTGGCCTGGTAAGTGAATGGAAGAACCAAAGTGAGCAGCTGGGTGTTCTCATTCCTAGGCTAGTGCTCTGAACAATACGCCAGGTAATTAGCATTATCTCTTTTGAGGAATTTCCTGGGTATACTAATCCTCAAGGGTAAGCTCTAAACCAAAAATTTTCTATTGTGCAAGGTAATTCCATTCAAGAGAGGTTTTCTTTTGTGTGTTTCCATTTTGGCATAGTTAGAAGAGATAATCAAATGGATTTGGCAGCTTTTACCTAGAAAGACAGGCAACTTAAACTGTATAGCTGTAGGTAATTACAAGAGTTATTTAGACTTAATTCTATGTTTGAATGAATTCAGTGTTCACTGCCAGCCTTTTCATACAAAGACTCCACTTTTATCTTTTGGTGGAATGGATTACAGCTTCGGTTAGATTTTTCTTGCATATTTACAAATGTATTTCTGTTGCTGTTCCTTATGAACAATAACTTGGCTGACTATCGGATTCTTGGATCAGATCCATTTTCCCCGATTCTTTGGAGCTGTTGCTTTATTGTTGTCTAAATCTGGTGGTGCTGAGTCCAGACAGATTTTTCTTCCTCTCTTACGAATACCCTGCTTGTTCACCTGGATACTTGTGATTCTTTGTTTATTCTTGAAATTCAGTAACTTTATTTGGGTATGTCTCAGGATTGACTGTTGTCTGTTAGCTTTTTCCGGTACGCAGCGAGCGTTAGATATTATCACTTCAGGCCTTTCTGCATTTGGTATTGGTTTATTCTGCTCTTCTCTTCAAGGATTTGTCCTTATGTTGGCTCTCTGTTAACTGTCCTTCACATTTATCCCTAGATGGCTTTCATTGCCTTATCTTTCTTCATGCTGTGGGATTTTTTTCTCCAGTTTTGTCCTTGTCACTGACCGACTCAGTTTTCTGTACCATTGATTGTGGGCCTTGTTGCTTATAATGTTGCTTTCACTTCTGTTTTATTTTTTATCTGTTTCTTTCCTTAGCTCATTATGTTGTTCTCTTTGATTCCTTATTTAATTTCTTTGAGGTCTGGACCATTTTATCTGTGATTTTTGTGGTTTCCAAACTCATTCTTTTTCCAGAATATATTAATATGTATCTGTCTTTTGCTTCTTTCATTCCTTTCCTTGTATTGTTTTGCTTTTATATTGCTGCACAAGTATCACGCTGACCCTTTCTGCTTGTTGTTTGTCTTTGCATGGGACCTGTTTTATCTGCCCCAGAAGAGTGTGGGTAAATCCTTCTTCACTCCTTCTTTTTGAAGTGAGGATTTTTGGAATGATCACATGAGCACCCGAACTGTAAGGCTAGCTATTGATGACTTGTAATGGTGGAAGCTGTTTTTGTTTTTCATTCTGCTATTTGGATGTGGGGGAATAAGGAGTGACGCAAAGCCTCCTTGGGACATGTTGTCTCTAAGTGCCTTCCGTGGATGCTGTTGTATCCTCTGCCCTGGGGGTGGCCAGGTCCCATTGGGAGAAAGGGATTCCCTTTGCATTCCCTCCATCCCACTAGTTGTCACCCTGGCAAGAGTGTGGTAGGTTTGTGCTTGCGCTCTGCTGGATTATATGTAGTGAGCATTTGTGCGATTGGCTCCTGAGTTACCGTTTCTCCTTTGCTCCTGCTTCCTGCCACTCTCTTCCTGTTTAGGATGCCGGAGGGAATGAACACAAATGGTGCATCTGAGATCTGAACCTCCCCTCCTCGTTTTTGTTTCTGGAAACGCCTACGCAGAGTGCACTCAGCTTCTCCTGACTGCTGCCAGGCCCTGTTAAGTTAAATGATTGGTAGAGTTCTTGGGAGCCTTCTCATGAACTGCCCAGTAACTGTGGCCTGCTGGAGACTGGGAGAAATGCCGTTTGTCCCAACTACATTGTGCCTGTCATATATTCCCCTGGAGTCCATGGTATGAGGTTGTGGCTTCATTATAGATAGCTTCTTGTTCAATTTTTGGATGTGTGTTTTGGAGGGCAGGAGCACTTATGTAAACACGCATTTGTTCTGCCATGTTTCCCAGCAGTCCAGGTGCTTAAACATTGACTTTAAAGATAATGTCCTTTATAATCTATATGTTAGCAAACAGAAGGAACCAATATTGCCAGCAGGAAGGGACCATTAACAACTTAATCAGTACAGGATTTTTGTTTGCTGTTCTGTGTGGAAAGATAACTTTTAACTCAGGTTCCTGTCCCATTGATTAGAGAGATCTGTACCTCCTGGTTTGAAATCAGGGACATGTGACATTTTAATGAACTTAAATTATCAGCCATTGATAGTTTTTAATTTGTTGATTAAATATGATAGAATATTTCAAACTGGCACATCATCGGAGTTATCAAGAGAAGTTTAAACACGTTTTACAAGTTGCTAGTCGAGCTGTCCCACTGAAGGGATTAACCCTTCTGAGAGCTTTACTGTCACACAGGTTTTCTTACCTGTCTTTTCAATCAACCCATTTTAAGATTTGGTTTA